TGAAGACCACATGCAAAAATTCAGCTAATTTGGAGCAAGAAAAAAGAAAAGCAACCAAAATCGTCACTTATCCCCTTTTATGACTAGCTTCTTCAAATACAATATATTTTTGTGTCCATGTCCGCTTAATAGAGATGTCCGCTGAACAGAGGTTCATTATAAAGGGAAATATAACACGTTAACTTCGGGACCAGGGTAAGTGTCCACTTAATTGGGGGTCCGCTTAATAGAGGTTTCACTGTAATAATAATAATAATAATAATAATAATAATAATAATTGAAAATATTTATACAGAGTAACCACTTCAATTATAAAACTGATATCAATGGGGCCCTAGTAAAAAAAAAAAATGAAATGAATAGATTAAAAGTTCTACATGTAGTTTGTTTGTTTAGTTTTTGTTTTTTGGGGGGTGGGGAGTAGGGATCCTGACTTGCATGGCTTGTACATAGCTCACTGTATTGAAGCTTGCTGGCTTGCACATTAGTGATAAAAACAATTCACAACTTAAAATTTTGGCAGGGGCAAAGTCAAAGTCCCACCTGTCCACTTGTTTTAGGAGCAAGTGGATTTTCCTTTTCTAAATAGTCCCTAAAACATGTTGTACCTAAGAAGTAAAAATAATATTGTTTGCCACATGATTACCAACAAATATTCTGTTTTCACTGATTTTAAGGTCAAATGCAACAAAATTTGGACAATTTTGTTTTGTTGAAAAACCTTTGAAAAAAATCAGTTATACAAACATGATGCAGAAATTATCAACTCAAAATCTTACCATAATAGAAAAGAAGAAGAGTTAGTTTTCTGCCTAAAACTACATCGCCATTTGATAGAAACTAGAGATCTGAGGAATGCATGAGTGTGGTTCTGAGAAAGGGATCATACCTTGGTCAACAATGTAAACAGCTCATCATACGTTATAAATCCATCACCATTCTTGTCAATACATTTGAATGCCTTGAGGATAGAGTCCTTATTCAGGGGTTTTTCCTTCCTCATTATGTCACAAAAATCATTGTACGATATACTATCTGTTCAGAAGACATAAACAGCAAGCATCGTGACCACATTACACTCATTAGATAACTTAACTTAAAGTTATTATATAACTGAGAAAATTATTTTATTGTGATTGGCAGAGTGCTGGCAATTTAACACTAATTCTTATAACGCTTTCATGATTTTCCCACTCATATAATAGTAATCGGGTAAAGGCTCAAGCAATTGAGGATTCACACTACTCATGATTTTGAAAATTCTTTCAAATTGCTCTCAACTAAAGGCTCATGCAATTTTAAGAGAATTTTCAAATATCATGTGTAGTGTAATTGCACTCACATTCATACAATTACCTATATACTTATTTACTTGATGCAGTTAGACAATGTCATGTGTGGTCTGTATTGGGGAATATTGGTCTTCCGTCATTTTTCCCAAGTTTATGGTCTTCAACTGCAGCTTGGTTAAAGAAATTGTAAAAAAAAACTCCACTAATATTTCCCCAATACAGACCTCACACTAGTTCACTAGCGAAATAATGCTAATCAATCACTCTGACTTAATTTTAGAAATACTCTGGCCGGGAGATGATGAGCATTTCCCCTTCCAGGAGTCAAAATTATCAGTCTGGTACTGTAAATATCTAACCTGTGTCATGTCTCCAATATTTTTGTACAAACTTCATTGAAGGATTTCTTCCACCAAACTGAAGGGCTTAAATAAAAAAATAAACAATAACAGGGACTGATGACAAAAAAATGTCCTTAACTTATCCTGACCCTATACTAGACTAAAATATGATTTTCCACACGTCTCAGACCTACACCACTTGCACAAATCGCAAACATACGAGGGTAGAGGCTGCTTACGAGCTCCTAACTCCAAGCATTAAAGAGGGAAGGGGACACTTTTTATAGCCTTGGGTGAGATGATACCACTAAGGCCTTCAAACCCTGATCACATGCAGCCACCCTGTTCAAGACAAAAAACTAATCTACTCAGGTTACTTCATGATCCAGATTTCATGACTGTTTTGAAGTCATTTTGATCTGTTTTGCTATTTCCAAATTATATATGTAACAGTACAAGTTCATTACCTCGCACTGAATACCATGTGTTTGTGAAGGCCTCACTTGCCACATTAACTGGGTGATAGTGAGGTCAATATGGTTTGAGATTTTCCCATAAAGATCTCAGTCTCAGTTAATAAGTGGTTAACAATTTCTGGCAAAAATATGTTCAAACCAATACCTGATTTGAGACACTATTGAATAGTGTTGATTTATACATACTCCGTTTAAAGCAAAAAACCCTAAAAACCATACCCTACCAAGCACAGGTCCCTATTTCAGATGAAATAAAGGAGTCCCTCTTCTCCTAGTCCCAGACATTCTTCACAGCACCTTACATGGATTTCAATCCCAATTTTATTCCAGTTTTAAATTTTCTAGGCGATAGATTAAAGCTGTATTATAGAGTTACTGATAGAATTTTTGAATTTGTGGATTTAGAGTCACTTGTTATGCTAAGAAACTGAATATTAAAAATAAATTGTCCCTTTATTGTTCATTCCCAAAGAAGCAAATCTTCTAAATTTCACTTTCCATAAATTCTAAAACTTTCGTTTTTCATACTTTTTTGAAAATGAAGTTTTTTTTTTCTTCTTTCGTTTGTTGACTTCAAAGTCGGGAAGGGGGTAAGCTAGGATGTTCTGGGGTGTTGAATTGTGTCTCATTATTACTTAAAACCTTGCTTCACCCTGCACCCTTCCTACCCGTACATCCGCTGTTCTCAGTTATCAACGACTAGCAACCAACATTAATTAAGTTAAAACATGCAGTAACAAGAACAATATAACGTTAACCGCTCAAATAACAAAGCAATTCTCACCTAGGATCAGTTCGTCAATGGATGTGATTTTCTCGGTTGTACTACTTAAAACGGCCAGGTAAGCCGCACGGCATTCCTTCATGAAGTTGTCAAATTTGGCGGTCGACTCACGCCGAACCTTCTCCGAGAAGGACACATTGGACGCTCTAGATGAAATACTAGAATTGGAAGACCTTCTAACTGGTCTCCCTAACTTTACCTCCGACATGTTTTGAACAATCTCGCTTAAATGTATTTCGTTTTATAGCCAGCCTCTATGTGTGTTTACATCTTCATCTTCACGGTTATCCGCAGCGCGGCGCCATCTTTGTTTGTTGTTTGAGACCGCTGACCTGCAGACTCAAAGCAAACCACCCAGGTTGAGATCACAATCCAAATTAATCCAGTTTAGCTAGTTTTAAACGTTTGCACGGTCGAACATCGAATTTTTTTTCCCGGGCTGGTCATGGTTCTTCCTGAGCTGACTCGTCACGCACTCCTTTTCAACCAGTTCGTTTGAGGACAGATCACGTGGCAAAGCGTACGCGTTCAGTCCAAACATTGGACAACCGGAAATAACAGTTTAAAATTCAAGACATACTACTGAAATAGGACGGATTTATTGGCAATATTCTCTGCCTCCAGAGCTAGGCAGTGGTAGAGCTATACATAAATTTAAAGAGTAACATATTTCCTAAATTTGAATTAGAGAAAAATGTTATTGGGTCTTGGTCCAGTGTGTGCTCAGTTATATTCCATGGGGAAATAAATTGAACAGAAACGAGTTAATTTAAGATTTTTTTCCGTGTTTGTCAAGATCACGTGGTATGTTTGTTTAGAATTCTTCTCGAGTGATGTCATTTTTGGTGATTTTAATTTTTGCCATTCTTGCGGCATACACGATTTGACAAGCGAACGTCCCCCAAAATATCTCCTCCCAAACATTCTTCCGCAAAAACATCCATATTCCAGTAGTTAAATCTGCAAGATGCAAAAATTAGAACCTAATTGAATACACAGTCTATGATAGTTCGAAAGTCACTAGTTCTCTAAATAAAGCTCCTACAAAAATATAATGCCATACACTCTTTCGTTTTCATAAGAATATATTTTATAAGAATATCAAGGCTGAAATTTGTGAAATTTTAAGAATATTTCAAGAATAGACCCAAGGCTGAGATTTTGAAAAGAATATAATTTTGAAAATTTGTAAACACCGAATATAGAAAAAAACCGTTTCAAATTCTTCCTTTCTCTCAACGGCAAAACTAGCCAAAAAGCAACAAAAACAGCATTAGCTGCACTATGTTACTTATAACATTTCTGCAAGCCTCATATCAGGCTTTGATGCCTGCAGGCTAGGCTCGATTTCCGCCGCTTTCGTGGAGGCTGGCTCCAAAATTTATACTTTAATACTGACCCAGACACCAAATGCATTCGAAAACAGAGATGTCATTCACAAGAATATTTTCAGCCTAAAATCAACAAAAAAATAAGAATATTCAGCCTCGGCCAGAAAAACAATATTCTTATTATAAAATAAGGGTGTAATGGTGTAGAAGTGAGTCCTTCCTTCATCCATGGTTCGCAGTCCTGTTCACTTATGGAAATGCATTAAAGTTCCACATGTGATCAAGCCATACAAACATGTATGTGCACATATATTTGTCCTTTGACCGAGTTTTTAATTTCCTTTATACAAATACAGTGATGTATGGCTCACGGCCGACAACCAGTAATTTTCCATTTGTACAAACATGACAGTCTTGTGATCAATGCGAGTTAATTGTCTTCTTTTTATAGCACAACGTCTACATGCTGTCGATATTTGATCGATCATAGTTCCTATTAAAAATTTCCGAGTGGAATGATCTCATTAGATAGCAACTCGAAAAATTTGCACTATGTGGATATCGAGAAGGGCTTTTAAACAAATTCAACATAGTTGTAAACAAATCCCGCCATACTGAATATTTTGTTCTGTATTTGTAAGCGTTATCTGTGTCATTCGTGACCTTCTTGAGCTTAGTATTTTACCGCTGGGTTTTATTAAATTATGCCCGTGTAATTGCTTCTTCTCTCATATTTTCACAACCAAAAGAATCTTTTTTGGCTTGAAATATTTCCGCATAATTAGCGATTCACCCTCATTTAGCTTCGTTTCACACCGACGTGACTCCTCGAACAATCTGGGCTATTATGAACTCGCTCTGTTTTTATACCAAGCAGCTGTGTTTCTATTTTAGTCATGCCCATATATGGATAAGAAATACATCGTATTGGTTCCTCTTGATCGATTGTTCGATTGAACGAGAATTTTAACCAATAAGATGGCCATTAAAAAAGGCAAGTGACTTGTCAAAGGAAACCGCTTATTTAGCTGTGTGCAGTGAACCAAGACATGCGGGAAACGTGCATAGCAAAGGTTCAAAAATGTCCTCGGTGGTCGACCCATTGCTTTCCACTGTCACTCTCGATTTATTGCGGCCTAAAGAGACGTTAGGCAATCCCGAAGAACATTTCAGAAAGGTAAGTCTTTATGGATGCTCGTGGGATTGAAAGAGTAGAACTTGCGTGATGTAGCAGCTAGCAGACATGTACTGTAGTATGTTACTAGCTGGTCAATTTTGGAACTTTCGAAGAACGCTAGTGACAAGTAAACGAAACCAACGCTTTCGATTCTTGTTTTTTTAGATATGGTTCGACATCGATAGCTTGAATTTTTCACAATTCAATGGCAAAGTGGACCTTTTTGATGACGGCGGTGCATTTGACTCCGAAAGCTCGCTCGATTCAGACTACGAGCTGAATTACAACGAGAAATATTTCTGCCAGGAAGACCTAATCGAAAGCAAGCTGAAAGATACAGAGTTGTTGTACGAATTGCCATATCAACAGGATGTCATTTGCTTGGAACTACGCTCTTCTAGCCCTGATAATTTATCAAGTTGCAGTCCTACGAGCGAGTCTTCTTCTGACATCGAAATTCAGCTAGACTGCATCCAGCCTGGAGGACTCACGTGCGCCGATGTTGAGATGAAACCTGTCTGTACGACCATCAAACAGACCTCGGAAGGCACGCAAACTGACAACGAATCAATGAGTACCGAGTCTTTGACCAAACTGGCGAAGGCAAAACTGACGATCGAAGGTTCTGCAGGAAACTCCAGCTCTTCAAAGCCAAACTCGAATACATTAAAGGCAACTAGCTCTTCAAATGCTAATGATGCGAAGGATTCCACTGATCCAACCCCAACGCAGTTACCCAAAGGGAAGCGAACATTGGCAAGGACTCATAAATGTACATTCGAAGGATGCAATAAATCGTATACTAAAAGCTCGCATCTTAAAGCTCACCAACGAACCCACACGGGTGAAAAACCATATCAGTGCAACTGGAAAGACTGTGGCTGGCGATTTGCGCGATCCGATGAACTTACAAGGCATTACCGAAAACATACGGGGATTAAGCCATTTAAATGTACAACGTGCGACCGTAGCTTTTCGCGATCAGATCACTTGTCGCTTCACATGAAACGACATTACTAAAGTGTGCTATGAAGGACAAAAGAGAAACTTATCGTGTATGAAATTCCAGCTTGGTCCTCTATGCGAAGCTGTAGGGAAATGATACCCATCAAGTAATATTTACAATTTTATACTCTATGAAAAAGTGCCCAAACAAGAAAAGACAGTTACGAAAATGGGTTCAATTGAATCTTAATATTGAGTTAGGATTTTAAAAAAGAAAGAGGAAAAAGCTTATTATTGAGGTGGCAAATACCACTCATAAAATGTGTACATTAATATGTCAGCAAAACTAAAATAAATGCATAGCATTATAAAATGACTATTTTCTGGTGTTTGTTTGTTACTTCATCCTGTTGCTCATCTAGACAACATCTGTGACAGAACTACCCTGTGGCATGTCGGAAAGTGTACTGTACCATAATTAAAGCAGTTAGGAAGATACGGTTTCCTTGTTTAAATTGGTGGCACTTTATCTCGTGAAAATATGCTTTAAGTTTTTTTTTTCATTTATATTTTTTGCTTTAGCTTCTTTGCAATGCGTGGAACTTGGCATTGTCGGTAATTTTATTAGAACATGATTTGTGTAGGTCATGGAATTTTGTTCTGTCTTGTTTAAAAGGGCAGACATCGTATAAAATGGCTAGCATATTTCTGATTTGCATCATTCATTTCTCCTTATTTTTCTTTTTTTTTCTTCTTGTTTTTGCACAGCTGGAAATCTGTAAAAAGTGAAAAATATGTGTCATAAACGAAGTCATGAGAAACCCTGAGTTGGGTGAATTCCTGCCAACTGCAGAAAGGATAAAAACAATAAATTTAAGCCTTGGAAAAATGTTTGTTAGTCTTTGAAAAGTGCTAAAAAGTTTTCTTGAATTCTGTTTGGAAGCATTTTATCCACAGCTTATTCAAGAATTCAGCCTTCCATGCTACAGAATTTCTGCATATATCAGGCCTAAATACCTGTGAAGGGTCTGTAAAGATGACTTCATTCTGCAGATATCATGAATATGAATGGCATCCACATTTTGACTGACATTGTCCATAGTGAAAAACTTGAACTTATGGTAGTCTGGAGTGTTAATACTAATGAAGGAATTGAAAGGGCTCAGGACTCCAAGACTCTAGTTGATAATACACAGGGATGAACAAGGAAGATTGCATATCAAGGCTCAAACACTAGTGAAGTCCCTCTTTGAATCTCAAAAAATTTTAAGGTCTGTGAATTAAAGGTATATATATGTTTGTGTAAAATAAATTGTCGCAAAGCAAAAGATGTAAAGGCTTTTTAAGCTGACAAGTTGCAGTTGATGCAGAATTTGACTTCGCACTGTTTTTCTCTTCATTAGAACTGGCTTAACTCCACAGGCTTCTCAGGAACAAACATGCGAGAGCTGGACCAGTGCGATTATCCATGCCACGCAGTGTGTAAATGCGAGTGTCTGAGGACGGACCAGCTTCAAGAGTAAAACTCTGTTTTATCCAAAAACATCAGCGATTGTACCAATTATACAATGCTTTCAATAACATAAAATATCTCGCAAGTGACTTGGATTTTCAGTATAAAAATAAGAAAACTTGTTTTCAGGCTTAATGTTTAGCTATCACTCTAACATCGTGTGGTTTCCATGGCAACATGATATTTTTACTATTATATTATTTGTACTTTGTATTTGTACTCTGCTCGATGGACTTGAATAACAAGAATTAACATGACCTTCATGACAAATAACGTGACCGTCAACATTTCAGTCCAGAGTCCCAAGTCCACACACCAATCCTTATTTTCAGTAAGGGGATAAAGGAAATTTGGGCTAGCAAAATGATAAGTACTTCAAGAATGGATTATTTCGAATGTCTTGTTCGTATTGGGAGAGTTATCTATGCCCGTGTTGGTCACGCTAATCAACGGATCACACTTCTATTTGTCAAGTGTCACGCTCGATTATCAACCGCTGTTCGGGAAAATGAGCCCCCACTCAACGTCCGTCCTCTCGAGGATCGAGGACCTGCGGGGAACCGGACTTTTCTCGAAAAATAAAGTGACATTCACTGGACCTTATTTTACGCCAGCTATCGCAAGTTCCTAACCTTAAGAGACCAGTCACACATTTCAATACGCACTGGTGAAGAAGCGAGTTTTGGTTTTGGCCGTGATGACGAAGAAATTGCAAACAAAAAGATCACGGGTTCTTGGAAACTAATTCCGTAGAACAAGGACGTGTCACAGCAATATTCGTGTTGACTGCAATACCCTGTTGAGGCCCTGAGTCTCCATGCAATTCATGAAGGTCTTCTTTCACCAAAAGCGGCTCTTTTGCTTGCTCAACCAAAAACTCTGGTTTAAGCGCACTTTGGACCGCTTTCTGATCTATAGCTCTTGAACTGACTGTCTTGTATTGCAAGTGTTTGCTATGGGAAAGTTTTGGTAAAAGTGTTAGGTTTTCCCTCAGAGGAGGGAGATTGATCGTCTTGACGTGTTTTGTTGTCTGTAGCGCCCTGTCAATTGGCAACAACTGCAAATACTTCTTGTAGAACGTTTTACGTGTGTCGTGACTGTTTTCTGTAGGAGTCTCGGGACTAACTCCCCCCATGACTGATATAACGGAAGGGTTGAAAATCTTTCTTTGGCACAGTCTTGTTTTAGTTGTGAAAGGTTGTTGTAGTCCTTCCATCCCTTTGTCAATCTTTGCTTTTCTTCTTGCTGCGAGTCTTCTCTCCAAGTTGCATATTTTAGAGATCGGATTCACTACGGGCTTAGAATATTCCTCACACCGACGTTCTCTCCCCTCCAAAGTCCTGTAAGGTTCGGGCGTGGCAACCTTGGCCTCAACCTCGTTCCCGGGACTTTTTACTTTTTCCGCTCCTCCTAATTTCAAAGGGAAATGTCCTGGAAACGAGGTTGCCTTGGACTTGAGCCCTGGCTGGTTAGTAACGAGATGTTGCTGAATTTCTCGAATATCTTTGTCAGGTTTTCTTTCTGTCAATAAAGGCATCATTTCGTGGTTGTAATATATATGCCGTTTCAAGCAGATTTCGAGTAACCGGCCAGAAAATGTGTTCATTGTCGACATCTCATTCAGCGCTGTTTGCAGCCGACTCTTGTCTATAGTTCTAGGTGGTACTTGACCAAATAAAGAACGGCACCATTCTGAAAGACAACGAACAAACTTGTAAAACCCATGAAAATGTCTATTAACCTAGTCATATTGAAATGATTTAAGGAGGATACTTGCTTTTCTGATGGAAAGACCCGCTATTTGACTGCCTCCCTCCCTCGGGCTCCCTCTTCCCTCGCCGTCAGACGGATACGTTAGATGATTACAGCTTCTGTTCAGGAAATTGAGCCCGCACTTCCCATCCCTCCCTCCCTTGGTCGGTAGGAACGAAGACCGGACACGGCGGCATTGGTGTAATTATGGCCCAACAGAAACCCGTGACTTTGACGGAACTTTTAGTTGAAGCAAATGATCAGATTTTGAGGGGTTATGGCAACATGTATTACGCTGAAAAATAGTTGAGCTTTTGTTAAAATTCCTAAGATCGTTCTGCTATGAACAGACCGGTTAGGTCATTGAAAAGTCTTTGCCATAAACAGTAGTGCTCAAAACCCGCATCATGATTACCCATAGAAAAATAACCTCTAAGGTTTGTTTATACTGAGTGCTGAGAGAACGATTTGCTCACCTGTTGGGAATATTTGTCGTTCTTCATCGTTAAACCACTCGACAATTCCTAATTATGTAAACAGTATATCGGGAAAAGAAAAAAAATAATAGTCAATATTCTCTAGTGCATTCTTCAAAACTTATCTGATCTTACTTTTCTGTAGACTTTCTCGTTCGGGCCGGAAAAATAACACCTTTGGGTTTAGAAATATTGTACCAGAAGATTTGAGTTTTGGAAGATCTCGCTAAGATCTTTTTCACTCGAAGCCTATTGCTTCCTGTCAGGTTTACCTTTTACGAATAAAAATGTCTCTGAGGAATATGAACGTGATAGTTCTGTGTTCTATCGAGTTTTAGTATAAATCTACTAGCGTTCTATCATGAATGCTGTTCTCTGATTGGCTACGCTACTCACGTTGTATTCTGTTGTAGATACAGTAAACACCCGCGTATAAGAACCTAGAATTCTTGAGTTCAGCCTGAATGGGTTCTTATATTTTGGGGTAGTTTTTCCGAACTCAGGCTGATTAGGTTCTTAGTAGGTTCTTA